GGGGAGAAAGAGGAAACCCGTCACAAGGTTGGATATATAGTCAACCCCCCAAGGCAACGAATAACAGAAATGTGGGTGAAGGGAGACAACAGACAGTGTAAGACAATGAACTAACAACAATAACATATCATTGATCCAGGACTCCTGAGGGTGGGAGGGTGGGAGAGGGAGGGGGAAAAGTGGAGGTGATCCCAAGAGCTCAAGTAGAAAGAAAATGTTTTGAAAATGTTGATGGCAACATATGTACAAGTGTGCTTAATATAACTGAATGATAGATTGTCGTAAGATTTGTAAGGGCCCCCAGTAAAATGGTTAAATAAATAAATAACATAAAGGAGGCCCTTTGGTGGCGTAGAGGGCCGTAAGTTGGGGTCTAACCCCATGCCCCAACCCACCAGGTACTTCCTGGAAGAATGATGAGGCTTTACAGCCTCGGAAACCCCTGGGGCCAGTTCTACTCTAGCCTATTGGTTTGTTGGGAGTCAGAAGCAACTCACTGGCAATGAGTGGGTTAGTACTTCAAAGAGAACCCCTGGTGGCACAGTGGGTTAAGCATTGGGCTGCTCATTGCCTGTAGGCTGTTCAACCTCCTCAGCCATCTATGGAAGACAGATGAGGCTGTCTGTTTTGTAAAGATTTACAACCCTCAGACCCTGTTTAGCCGTCTGCCCTGTGCTAGAAGGGTCCTTGTGTCTGCATCGAGTGGCGGCCCTGGGTTGTAATGCGGGTCGCCTGCAGTACAGGATCATTCCACAAGAGGGAGCTAGGTCTCAGGAATCAACATTTCCACACGAAAATATTTCTGTAGTCCATAAATCTCTGTCCCAGAAAGAAGGCGTTTGGTTTGGGGATGCCAAATAAAAGGTAGTTGTTAAGCTGTTGGAAAGGATCAAGAATAGCAATGAATAAGCAGTCACAAAGTAGCTAGATACCAATTTCTGTAAAGCTGATACTAAAATTCACCATTTAGCAGAAACATAACCAGGCTTTCCTGTGCCATCTAGAAAGCACCCGCTTCCCTTTTTAAAAAGGAACTTACGCTGCACAAATCAGCGTCTGATCTTCATGTCAATCACAGGGCTCCTGCGTTAAGTTTGCTCACACCAAAAACCAAAACCAAAAAAGCCAGTTGCAGCCGAGCAACTGTCCCGATTCATAGTCACCCTCCAGCAGAGGTAACAAACACTGTGACCGTCCGCAGAGCTGCTGCGGCTGCACATCTCAAAAGCTGACTGGCAGAAGCCGCAGCAGCTCCCCTGGAGGCCGGTGGATCCAAAAAGTGCCCTTGAGCTACAAAACCGTGGCCAGCAGTGGATTCTGACTCAGGCAAAACTCCCCTGGAGGAGCAGCAATCGCCCTTCCTGTTGCAGATAAGACTAGATTTCTGCGGGGAGATTGCGACCTGCTGCTCATCACATGCTTAGAGAGTTGTTGCGAAATCTCCTTTCTGAGACTTTGTCATCCTGGCAAGTCATAAAATCATAAAACGACAGAACCGTAACAATGATCTGACTTCCCTCTTCTAGATGTACAAATGAAGTCTTGGCATGGTTACATTTTGCCCAAGGTCGTCCAGTCAGTCCCAGAGCTGACAGGAAACTAGGGGCCAGGCCTCCGGCCCCAAGGCAAGCCTGCCTCACTTATTTCCTGTTAGCGTTTTGCTCTGGTGGCTTCTCACCCTTGCAGGGTAAATCACCTTCTTTCTCAGGAAATCATCCAAAGCAAGTGCACTACCAGCGAGGCCATTCCAGCACCCAGCAACCTTATTTAGGGTTTCTGAGACAACAAAGCTTGACAGCAGCAGGCAGCCTCCCTCGGAATGGCAAGTGTATGCGAATCGGGATCCGTGGTGACCAGCCCGGCAGTCACCTGACCCACAACGCCACCAGGGCTGCTTTTCCAGCTAAACGGAATGTTTGAAATAGGCGAAGATTGTATTAGCATATCAAAAATGTCTAAGAACACATGTCTTATAGCGCATCATATCTTTACGTAGGGGGAAATTTCACTGAAGATAACCTCTCAGCGTGTATGATTTCCATTGTCACAGTTGTTGTTAGCTCACCAAGAGGCGATTCTGACTCACGGCCACCCCTTATAGTACAGAATAAAACGTCTTCATAGGCTGCTTTTGGCTGCCATCTTAACAAAGGCATCATGCCAGGCCAATCTTGCCAAGCACCAGTGGATGAGTTTGAACCGGCAACCTTTGGGTTCGTACTAGTACAGAAAGAACATATCACTCCATTTAGGTCGCAGCAATAACCTCAGTTACTATTTGTTGTTTTTAATGAAAACAAGGAACAGCAATAAGAATAATTGTAACGATTAAACAAAAGCAAAGAACTGACTCCACCTACACATGTGAGAGAGGTCAATGAGGGGAGCTATCAACTGCGTGGACTTCCACCTGGGACCAGCCTGCCCAAGCACATTCAGACGAGTAAAATCAAAAGACAGAGGTAACAGTGAACTCACCATGTAGAGTTTGGCCATTCTCCGGTTAGTCATGTCTGCTATGGTATCATCGTCCTCATCCCCATCTCGAAGCTCAGGTTTTTCCCCTAAAACCTGGGGAAGGGTGACAACAAATGCAAGATAAAAACCTCGTAGAAAGGGACACATCTAGTTCTAAAAAAATAATAATACATCTTACATTTACGAAGACATCTATTACAAAATATTTATAATTCATGTT